TACATACACACACACACACACACATATATATATATTATTATATTAGTTAGTAGACTATATATATATATATATATACATACCATATAATTATATATATATATATATATATGAGTTGAGACAAATCTAAAGGAGCGGTAAGAATACTGAGTTGCAGACAGCTACAGACCGCAATGTACCAAGAGCAAGGCGAAGAGAAAGACCAAAAAAAGATAGGACATGTGTTACAGGTTACAGTCCCAAGCACTTAAAAGGGAGTGGTGTCTATGAGTGGCACCAACAAACCGATTGTACAGCCAAAAGTAGATACAAAGTAAATGACGTTCTCAGTAAACCGTAAGATAAACTAATAATTCTTCGGCTTCACCATGAGTATGTGCTCTTTCTAAGTCATTTGCCATACCCGGTATCCACGACGACAAAAACAACCACCAGCACTATCAAAGTACACACCCACGTCACGAAAAACACTATCAACGCACAAACTCACATCACAACAAACACTATCAAATCACCCCTCCCATCAACGAAAATCTAGGCCAAATAGCGTATCATTTGATCAGAGGTGTCTGAGCCACATACACATAACCCACACCCAAACGCCAACGCAAACGCAAACACAGGCGGCGTAGCAGCACTGCACCTTAAGGTCTTGAGATCGTCCCATTGAGCTACAATCAACGTATACGCCTCCTGCGCCAAGGGGGGTGCACCAAGTGCCGCGTGCACCTCGGGGGAGTCCTCCCTGGGTGTGGCTGGGTGGGTGTCTGTACTGCTGAGGGCAGGTCCAGGGGTTGCCCTGTCCTGTTTGCGCTCGGACGGGTGCGCACGAGTGTGCGGGTAGGTGTCTAGCCCTAGTTTATGCAGCAATTCTTGGAGAGTGGCCTGGCAGTGAATACGTGCACGGAGAGACCCTTCGTTGGCGTTCCATTGCAGCGACATGTTACGGAAGTTCGCCAGCAGAGTCGCACCGTACTGAGTGCAGATGGACTCTGTGGGCGAGGGAGAGAGAAGGATGTAAGATATACAACATACAGTACAAATGAATGTATGATATACAACATACAGTACAAATGAATGTATGATATACAACATACAGTACAAATGAATGTATGATATATGACATACAGTACAAATGAATGTATGATATATGACATACAGTACAAATGAATGTATGATATATGACATACAGTACAAATGAAAGTATGATATATGACATAAGTTAAGTTATAGAAGACGGCAGCTGACTAGGGTAGTCTGCATGCGTGCCCGCGCAATCAACAGCTGTAACCTTTCCACCTCATCAGAACCTGAGTAATTCCAGGACTGTCTTAAACACACATAAAAACGTACACATACACATGCAAACAGACACGCAAACACACAGACACAAACACACACACACACAGACACAAACAACTACAACCAGGCTAAGAACGAGACTAAACCTAAATACATCAGGTGTATATCACACACGTTTATAGCTGTGCACAACACCCTTCTCCACGCACCAAACACGCGCAAACACACACACCCACCTGGATGAAACTGAACGCCCCAGTGAGGGTGCGAACGGTGCCTCAAGGCCATCAGCACCCCATCGTCACTGTGGGCTATAGCCTCGAGATCACAGGGCAGATCTAGCCAACAAGAGGGCAGCATGTGAGTGCATGTAAAGGAATATGGGAATAGCATGCAAGTACATACATGCAAGTGTATGTTAATAGATAGCACGTACATTTCAATATGTGTATGTTAGTAGCATGTAAGTACTTCCACATCAGAATATAATAATATCATATCCAGACAGTGTGATATATTCTAAGGATGGGGTGCTGAGCGAAGCTGCTGCTGCACCCTAGGCACTGATACAGAACATCGGAACAACAGGACAGTCATGAGGCCCATATGCGTGGTTGCCATGGCAACCACGTTCTGCCCGTGTAGCCACACTGACTGGCGAGACCTACAGAGTCAAAGAGAGACCCTGCACCGGGCCATCCCAACCAGCTCACAGAAAACCCCCACAACGCCAATACAAACAGAGCCACCACACAGCACAGCAATCAAACCCTAAACCCTAGTACACAAACACTTGGTGGTTTATGGACACCAACAACAAATGGCGCAAATGTACTATACCTGACGCAGCCACTACGAGGGAGTGGTACCGAACTACACTGAAGGGACTGGGGATGTCATCGAACAGCTGTGATGTTGCACACCTGAGAATACAAATTAAATGTAGGTGGTGCTATATTCAGTATGTAGGTGGACACTACATGTTATAATATGTAGATATATACTACATGTTATGATACGTAGATATATACTACATGATATAATATGTAGATATATACTACGTATTATAATATGTAGATATATACTACGTGTTATAATATGTAGATATATACTACATGTTATAATATGTAGATATATACTACATGATATAATATGTAGATATATACTACGTGTTATAATATGTAGATATATACTACGTGTTATAATATGTAGATATATACTATATTAGGTATGCTACCGTGTCTAGAATAATTTGACACGTGGCACACACTCGAATACTACAAGGTCTACTGTCAGGAGAGTGGTGGTTGTAATTCGGGGCAGCACGTAGCGATTCTTGAGTACTGATTGGATACTGGGATGTAGGGTTTGTGTAGGATTTTTGTGTTTCGGGCGTATGTATATGGAGCTTAAGGCTTCTGAGTTGGTCGAACACACAAGAGCTGAGTCCACAGTCAACAATCCATATATAGCGCTTTATTTCGTACTTTCCTGAATACTGGGCTATAAAAGGTTAACACACGCACCATGGCATAGGTATACAATCACGCACATACACACTCTCACGCGAACAGCTATGAGCTCCAACACAATCAAACGGATACTTGCAGTCCCTCATGAGTACCAAAAAAAATGCACATCTATATCTTATTGGTAGCTATTTATAGATATACCCACCTCTCCGTCCGTGACTGCCTATGAGTCACACTGCTGAGTCGCCCATGCATAACCTGTGGTGCAGGTACCACCCGTGCGCCATACAGCGCTGCCATACCCTGGTGTCCCAGACACACCCCGAAGATTGGGATTGAGCTCTCCTTAAGTACCGAACTGTTTACGCCAAAGTCTGAGTCACACGTGGGGTCCCCTGGCCCCGGCGAGATGACCACATTGTCGAAATAGGGCAGGACATCGCGCACGAGTGTGGCGCTGAGTGTGGGGTGGTGCATGGGCAAGGACGTCAGATGACATACGTGTGAACCAGAACGGGTCAGTATACACTGTTGGAGTGTGTCTATGACTGTAGGTACATGGCAATACCTTTAGTTACATTGGTTATAACTTCAGGTTCATGGCTACATATAACAATAGTTACGAGAAAGTGTGAAGCCCCCCCCCCACCACAGGAGTAGTGCCTGGTGTGCTGAGGGTATATACGATGTGTGCAAATCACTGCTGCGACGACGTATTTAGAGTAAAAGGTATATTTAGGGTTTAGAGTATATTTAATGTTTAGGGTGTAATTGGGGATGCGTATCTAAGGTACTCGAGTTGCATGTGGAACACCAGATAACGAATGCATCAAGAAGTGGTAGTAGTGAATTTAGGACAAAGTAGCTAGAATTGTGAAATCTTCATCCCGCGTATGCCCTGAACGCAATATGCGAAATAGGTGGATAGTTCGTATTGATAGAACAACTAGTGCGTATAACTTGCACTTACAGGAACAGGGATGAATATATATATATATA